GCTGAAAGAACTGGGCATGTTCGGCCTTGAGAAGAGGAGAGTGAGGCGGAACATGATATCACTTTTATAAGTACCTCAAAGATAGAGACAAAGAGGAAGGATAAGACCTTTTCTTGCTCATAACAGAATGTAGGACATGGAATACTCAGCTCAAGCTCTGACTACCTAGATTCAAGCTAGATATCTGGAAAAGTCTCCTCACTGTCAGAGCAATATAAGAGTGGAACCAGTTGCCTAGAGAGGCCATGGGCTCTCCCACACTAGAGACATTCAGAAAGAAGCTGGACTGAATGGGACAGGATAAATTAGTGTCCTGCAACAGCAGGGGCTTGGACCTGAAGGCCTTCTTGGCCCCTTCCAACTCTATAGGATCCAATGATTCTATGATCTCCTGAAATCACTGCTAGTTTGATAAACACAAGGTCTAATACAATGAATTTCCAGAGGTCTAGACAAATTAGTTTGTTGTGACAAAAGCAATCAAGAACCTTCTCGTACTAGTAGATACAATGCAGCATGATAAATGTGTTAAGTGCCTCCAACACAAACACACAGACACACACACAGAGTGCTCCTACAGGTAAGCTGCCCCTGGAACTTTTGTCCCCTGAGGGGAGGGAGCGCTACACAAGATTAATGAAATAAGGCATTCACCGAGCAACCTGGCAGGCTTCCTTCCCCTCTGCTTACATAAACTGGGCCCAAGGATTTTCACAAGAGTTGAATTCCATTGTCTGTCATCCAGACTGGTAGACCTTCCCTTGGCTCAGGAGTATAACAAGCGTCATTTGACTGTAGATGGCCGAGCTTAGCTCTGGTCAAATCATTGTCTTTTCAGCACCACTAGAACATAATATGACTGTTTATGCAGATAATTATGGCCAGTCTCCATAGCTTTATTTTTTCTTGGATTGTACATGAACCTGGAGTCAGAGGAGCCTAAATTTCAGCCAGTTATCTTCATCTTCCCATATCTGTTCCTCTTTCATTCTAAAGAAGGAGCTTTCATCCAACATAATCTCACTAGACAGATCTGAAGAGTTCCAAGCTCAAATGAGATTGAAAGATTTATCTTTAAATTGTTAGTAGGCAATTCCTTGCACTCCCTCCACCCCACTGGGTTCAATTTTCTTCACAATATTGTTCCCTACTTATTTAACTACTAAAAATATTTAATACTGTCATTTCTCAGCTCAAGGGAAATAGCATACTGAAAGTATTTGAAAAATAAGAATGCAGACATTTATGTCGGAAACAACTGACCTACCCTGACAGACTGCATTAAGAAGTTGCATGGAGGCTCATACAGAAGGGATGTCTAAGGCTTGGGGGTCTGAGGCCATGCAAGTCAGAAGGATGCCCCATTCTCCACACTGCAGCTCATCCTATTCAGCAGGGTCTAAAGGCTCTTTGGGTGGCATCCTCAGGGGGCTGACATGGAAAGGAGGGGGCCACTTGGCCGAAGGCCTCCAGTGCTGATCGTGGTATCCAAGAGCGATGATCCATCAGGTACCATTGGTTTAAACCAATGCTTTGACTTGGCCATGGAAACCTAGAGGCTGCCATCCTCCCAAACCTCAACAAGAGGTGATCTGATCACAACCATGGGTTAATTTGGATCACTATCCCCATGGATGATGGGGGGAAGTGTAGAGGAGGGATGTGTGAGGAATCCATCTGGAGGCGGGAAGCCATCAGATTTTGGTCTGCTTTTCTGTGACCCTAAGTCCAGGTTCCCAGTGAACATGCCTAGCATCTGTGGGGCGTGTGCCAGAAATCAAACCCTACATACTGCACAAGCAACATCCCCCTTCCATGCAATTTGTACCTGACCCAGAAGAAGGTTGCTCCTGTGGGGCTTGCCAGGAATGGAGCCCACGTGACCACTGTGCAAGCAGCGACCCTCTTCTGCACCACTTGCAGCAGGCTTGGTGCAGAAGGAGGCTGTGGATCACCTTTCAGCTAAGCTCAGTTCCTAAGAGGGGGCTGAGCACAAGAGGACGCCTGAGGATGCTAGAGGGATGGATTCTGCAGGGTTTTGCTCCAGCCACAAGTGTCAGGCTGAAGCCATTTTTGGGCAGGGCTGTCACGGAGGCCATGGAACCCTGAAACTTCGACAGACATCTGTCCTCAGCATAAACGTCCATCTTCCCCAAGCCTGGCAGTTGGGGAACATCTCCAGGACCACACCTGAGACTACCGCCATTCATTCAGGCAGGGAGACTGCTGGATAGTGGGGAGCGAAGCACTGCAGAATTTCCTACCTGTCCCACAAGCAAAGCACAATCTGTAAGGCATCCAGGTGATTAGATGGAAAGGAGCCTGGAGAGAGGGAGGGAACCTCTGGAGGACATGCAGCATCCCTGCAGCCCTCATGTCTACCCTAATGCTGAACCAAGCAGCCCAGTGGGCACAACTGGGAGAGATGGTTCCTCCCCATTTGTCCACCCAGGCCAGACTGGCTGCTTCATCCATGATTAGGTCAGGGCTGTCCGAAGCCTTACGACCTGCTGATCTGGCATGTGAAGGTTAGTTCCAGCAATTTGACTTGCTGTTTGCTGCAATGGGTCTCTTGGGTGTGAGCTTCCTTCCTTCCTTCCTTCCCTTTTTTAAATCCTGCTGTGGCATTTCAGCAGGGAAAACAGAATCTAATAAACAGATGAAAAGAACAAAGTATGTTTGGGCTAGATGGCTGCCTTGCATTTCAAATACATTTGACATGCTCTAATTGTTTATGCATTACAAAGACACATTGCAATATTTGAAAAGTTAATGAGGCTTTTTAGACCTGAGAAAGGAGCTCAAAAAAACCTGGGCTGTGCATTTGGTCCTCAACCATTTTTAGATGATTCCTGCATGACTAATACATACTGTCAGAATATAAGAAGTCAGTTCACTTCGCAGCAGATATCTAAATATTTTTAATACTGCCTTATTGAATTAATCCTTCTAAAGACATGATGATCTGAAACCCCATCAGTTTTTCTACAGATAACAACTTGGTTTGATGCTTTATTACTATTTCCTTGACAGGTTTGTGTTGAATAAATCCAGATAAGTCATCATGGGGCTACCCCAATTTTTTTGCCTCCTCACGATTTTATCTTCCTTATCTGTGTTGTGAAAAAATGCAAAGATATTCTGAATTTCTTTAAGATGAAAGGAAGTGTTTCAAAACAAAAGAATATGTAAAAAAAGAAATAGGTATATGATTCCATACCTGAGTGTTTTTTCAGTTTTCCATTTGAGGCATAATATGTTATACGGATAGCCTGTGTTCAAGTGAGAAAGAGCCTCTGCCTGAAACTACTCCCCTTCTCCTCCTATGGTACAGCGTGACCATGAGATCAGAAGCGTCCTTTTCAATTTTAGATTTACTACAGTTTCACACAGAGTGGGCAGTATTCAACCTCTGGGGTGCATGGAGAGCCACAGCCCCCATGCAGCCCACACCAATTTGAAGGGACCCCAATTTTTTTCAAGCAAAACAGCATCCAAAGTAGCTACAGATTGCTCTGAGAGTCACAATTTGCAAGCTGTATGAAACTCCAGAGCAGGTAAGGAGCACAAACATGGTAAAAAATAGTTTGCAAATGAGCTAATTTTGACCTTTCGATGCTACAGCTGCCATATTGCCATTACTGCTTTATTTCCTCCATTTTGGGCTCCCCTGGGGTCAACTGTGGAAGTCCTGAAGGTGAAAATATTCCATGAACTCCTGAGATTGCCCACCCTTGGTTCAGCATGTCTGCCTAACTTTGAACTATGGTTAATCTTAACAATGGTTAGTTGACACAAGCCAACTTCATAGAGTATAGTTCTCCAAATTCCATCTCAAAGGTTGTTCTGATATGAGTCTGCATCAGATTGAAAGCATTTTGCAAAAAGATGACTTTTTGCATGCATATTTTTCATATATACATATACTGAACACTTTTTTTGGCTCTGAGTTGCATTGCAAGCTTGGAAAAGTAGAGACTTCAACTGTATATTGGTGTTTGGTCTAGAAGGTGAGAACTGGGTAAATCCTGGTCTAAAATAAACTGAAAATAATTTCTCATGAATTCCTACCTGGGGCAGCTATCTCTGGAGAAGCTGAGACACTATGCTTCAGAAATCATTCACACATATTCATCCCTTGATTTAATACCTCACAGGTTGATTACTTAACACTCAGTTACTTAGAGCTGAACATGTAAATTGCCTCCAATTGAAAATGCGTTGCACATATCGTGACTCTAAGCATTTAATCTACAGATACCTCCTTCAACATGCAAAGTATCACATTATGTTGCACTTTTCAATGAGGCAGGCATGCATGAGCTGAAGCCCTCCTGAAAGAGAAGTTTGCCATGAATATCCTTACCAGGTCTTGGTTTCAATTAATTTCTAACAGAGCTGTAAAAATATTATCACAGCCCCCTCCCACGTTTTTCTTTCTAGCTCACTACCCATCCATACCTACAGCATTCATTTGCAGCCTACAGATAGCCTGAACGAACCATCTTCGGTCTCATTTATTTCACAAAGCTTTCCCACTTAGTTGGCTGCAGGTAATTCTTTCCTGTCAGAAACAGGCAGAAGAGCTGCTATTTACAGGCCTGTTACAAATCTGGGAAGAAAAGCCTTGAATGTCTGTTCCAATCTGAAAACAAAGGCAAGTATCCAACAGTGCACAACCATGAAGATAAATTAGCTTGTGCTACTACAAACTGCATCTAACTGATACCAACACGGTTAGCTGGTGAGCTGAATTTTCAGGGGGAACACTAGATGCAGTTTATACTAGCACAACGCAATTTACCTTAGTGGTAGCACCTTGTTGCAAACTACACATGTGTAAGAAAATGTAGTTAACTCTTTTCCACCTATCCCTTCCCCTGCTCATGAACATAATCCAGGTATTAAGCTGGATTCCTTTTAACAGACAAGTTGAGCATATGCTTACCTCTTTCCAGTGAAATCAAAAGCACTAAATTTGCTTAAGAAAAAGGACATACCGATTAAGGGAACCGAATCAGAGGTGGCAGGCATGATCTCTGCTACGAGCAACATGAACACGGTGAGGGACAGGAGAACAGTGATACCTGCAAGGGAATGGTGAAGAAGCCAAGAGGTGAGCTAGGAGCTGCATTCCTGAACATCTTCTCTTTCAGAGATGATCAACAAAGTGTGCGAATGCATATGTCATTAATTCGTACACAGTGATCTTAGTGTTTCGTCTGGAGAGAGCTAAGCAAATCAAGGGTTAAGAGAAATGCGTTTTGCATGGAAAAATGTGGAAGCAGACCATTTCACAAGCAATGGGAGATATAATGGCTGTTCTAGTGTTGTCCAAGCAGCAGCAGAGCCAGAAGCCTGGTGACTTCCTGCACTGATATTCCTGCACCGGTTTTGAGTGGCAAACTCTGCTCTTGAAAGGAGCCGCCTTAGTGGACTCTTCCCGTATCATTTGTGGAAGCTGGAAGGAGCAGTGCCACCATGTCTTTGACCCCTCTCAGCTAACCTAAGAACAAATCTTGACTGTAGCATGTCAGACTCAGGGCTGGGGGGATGTGCCATGTTTCTGAATGCTCCCGACAGGTAGAAAATTAGTGTATCAGGAGGACGATTTTGCTGAATTTGTCTCTGCTTTAATTCATACAGAGAGCTTTTTATATCTACCCAAAATGAGGCCATCCCAGTCCCACCCCTCCATCTGAAGTCCAGAACACTTCATCCTGCATTAATGTGCATTTTGGTTCCAAATTCTTAGTGCTTACCCAAAGATATCTTCTCTCCAGAGTCAGCTGGCAGCAAGAAAACCAGCAGTGCTAAGCCTGATATAAGAACGCAGGGAATCAGTAAGTTCAGTCCATAGTAGAGGGTGCGGCGACGCATCGTCACAGTGTAGGTCACATCTGGATAGGGCTCCTTACAGCACTCATAGTAGAGTTCATTCCTTTTTCCGGGGACTCCTGCGCAATAGAAAAGGAGAAGCCATAACACTGGCTGAATTAAGAAAGTGGGTGGTCAGCCTATACCCTCATTCCCCACTAGCCTGTATGGTCAGTTTGGATGGCACACCATAGAGTCACAGAACAGTAGAGTTGGAAGGGGCCATGAAGGGCATTGGGTCCAACCCCCTGCTGTTGCAGGACACCACGTTACACCATCCCACTCAGATGGCTGTCCAGTTTCTTTCTGAGTGCCTCTAGTGTGGAAGAGCCCACCACCTCTCCAGGCAGCTGGTTCCACTGTTGTATTGCTCTGACAGTGAGGAAGCTTTTCCTGATGTCCAGCCTGGATCTGGGTTGTCGCAACTTGAATTGATCATTCCATGTCCTACACTCTGGCATCAGCAACAAGAGATCTTGACCTTCCTCTTTGTGGCAGCCTTTGAGGTACTTATAGAGGGATATCATGCCAATCTTCTCTTCTCAAGGCTGAACAGAAGAGAAATCATAGTATGCAAGGTTTAACCATATTTTTTTCTGCACGTAAGTGAGAGGCCTCTGATATGCAGGGTTTGAGCTAAGCCTGAGAAACGTAATATGAAACCATGGGTTGATGCCAGTTTGACAAATTGGCCATGGCTCCAATGCGGGAGCTGGCATGACTTAAAAACAGGAGATGTGGCCAGTGGCAAAATGAAAGCACTGAAGCAGATCTCACTGGGGATTCCCTAAGCAGGCCTTGCCTCCTGCTAACTATCTCCCCACAGCCCTGGACTTCTTGCCCACTGACCTGTTCTTGCATCCTTAGTAGGATACTGTAGGTACTAAATTGATTCCCAAGTTCTGAGCGATTGGAGACAGCACAACAATTCTTGCCAATGATACCACAACTTGGTGCCAGCAAGCCAGGCCAAGCCAAACCAATTCCTTGGGAGCAGGAGCGATTAATTGAGTCGGGCAATTAATTCCCCAGTTCCCAGCCAGATTCCCATATTGCAGATGCAGGGGAGCTGAGCTCGAGAAAACTGGGCTTGCCCCAAACCCATTTAAGAATGTTAATTTGTTTACCCGGGTTTCATTCATATCACAGGTTGCCAGGTGCCCTGAGTATTCAGATGACTTTGAAGATTTTGCCTGTTAAGTGCTGCTTAGCTTATCTGCCCTCATTTATTTCCTGTGAACAAAATAATTTCTAATATCTCCAGAAATAAGGTAAAAGCAACACCTCCTGAGAGATATTGAGCTCTTTCATGGAGCTAGTATAACTCTTTATGTACTTGATTGTTTACACATAATGAAAAATAATTATATCAGTCTAATAACAAGCCTCAAAATATGAATTGTAGATCTTTCCATTATGCCAATTACTAACATTTCTTCAAAACGTCTTAAGAATATTGCATCCACTACTCCTCTGGTTAATTTCATTATGAGGCTGTAAGATGTAACAGCCCATTCTTTAAGCTCTCCATTAAATTCCACCAACAATCGATAGCTATTATAATGCTCAGGGGTAAGGCATGAAGGGTTGCAGTTCTCAAGATGTTTATAGAGGCACTGAGCTGAAATGGTTTACATCCTTTGCTTTTATTTCTGCATAGAACAAATGTTTCTTCTGCTTCTCCTGGCTTTTATGGCACCTCTCTTGTTCATCCGTTTGCATCAGGGTTGTGGATTTGCCAAGCCAGCCCTAGAGGGGGCATGCCTGGGTAAGCTCGCCAGCCCCTGTACGAATTGCTGCGCCCTTTAAAGAACAGCCCTGCAAGGGCATGCCGGGGGAAGCTCTGTAGCGGGAGATGGAAAAGCTCTGCTGCTGAGCCTTTAAAGTAATGCAGGCTGGAAGAGGCTGCCTAGATTTTGGGCACCTGGCCAAAATGCCAGCTTTCAGTGTAAAAAAAACCCTCAGCTCTCTTGGCAGGAGCCCTAAAGAGAATGAAAATGAGAGGTTCTCCCTTCATCTGGGCAGCAGCTTTGATGAGTTAAGGAACAAATTTGTTTTATTGGAAAATTCTTTTTGGAGTGAATGTCCAATACGCTGATCCTGCACCTGGCCAGCTCTACCAAGTCAATTGATTTCCCATCTGTATCCCTACACCTAGGAGCATTATACTGAATATGACAGAAGAGTAGTTTGAAAATAAGAAATAGAATTCCATTGTACAGGCATTTTTCCTGAGATGGGTACATGCAACACTTTGAGGTGCTGAGTGCTTGCTAAAGATCCAAACTGCACTTTTTCCACTGCTGCTATTTATGAAGTGGCCAGAACGGCTTCAATCCAGATTCTGTCCCTGTGCTCCCACTCCTTCTCTCCGGCTTGTGCCACATCCCCTCCTCCTCCTCCTCCCCCCACGTCGAAGCAGCAGGTGAGTGAAAGGGAAACACTTAGTTCTTAGCTCCTTTTTGGTAGCTGTCAAATCAGTGTTCCTAATTTAGCTCCATGGACATGAACCAATTCATTCAGACTGGGAATAACCATCAGGTGCTAGACTGGCAGGAACCTGCCAGAAGCAGAAGGCAAGCAGAATGTCAGACAGACAGAATGTCAGGCAGACAGCTGGCCAGCCAGTCAGACTGAGGATGGAAAGCATAACCTTGTAGCTTCGCTCTGCTGCTGAGGCTGAATGAGGGCTGCAAGACGGTGATGCAGAAGTAGCTCTCTGATGTTCTCAGAACCAGTGAGATTCTGGACATGGGGCTAAGATCCCAAATGTGACCTGCCTGTAGGTAGAATAAGGTATAGCCAACAAGATCTTGATTGCCACTGCTCAGATCTCACTTGGATAGCTCTACACTAATGACTCTGATCCTAGTGGAGCTGGTATAAATTGGGAGAACCATTCTGAGATATTGGCTGTGCATCCTTCTGATCAGCCCTTTCTTAAAGGCAGAAATGACTGACAACAGATGAAGATCAACAAGGAAAACATTGTGTTGGTCAATCATCATCATCATCTTCATGAAGAACATTCAAAATACACAACTGGGCAATAGTTTTATGAGGACCAACAAAAATGTCACAAAAAGGTTCACAAATATTCTGCTTTGCTGCAACCATCAACAAAATACAGACTTGGGAGCTGCTATGTCCAGCCAGCATTTTTCTCTCTGATTTTGCCACACAACCAACTGCCTCACTAATCTGTGGTCTTTTGGATGATCTTAACAAAGGTGGATTTAGAAGTTATCGAAGGAACCTTTCACAGAAACACGCAGAAGTGGTGGCTCGGTGCATCCCCAGTGTAAGCATGGAGGAGGCCCAGAGTATCCATCCACTAAGAGGTGCAGGTAGGGAATTACCCACTTCCTCACAACAGGCCATTCTGCACTGGGAAGGCTGCACACAGGCTGCAGGGTGCCTGCCTTTCTAATTTGGGGAAAAAATCTGCTTCTGCTAACGGGACTTAAGGAAATAAAGGTTTCGATTCATTACATTTCTTTGTGAAAGTCAACTTACCTACTAAGTCCCATTCTCCATTTGATATGTAGTTGGAAATATCGGCTTCAAGCATCTGCAGATCAAGCAACCAGCCATTGTGCGTCCACGAACCAAATTTCAAGTCACATTTTTGCACATCAAAAGGAAACCAGCGGACATCAATGTAGCAAGTGCTCTTTAAGATGCCTGTAATTAGAAATGTGTTTATGAATTTTCCTAAAGTTAAAAAAGATAAGATCTTCATGGCAAGAATGAAATGGGATAAAATTGCACTCATATCCATCTGTTATCAAGAGTTCAAGGGAGCAGACAGCTTTGAAATGCATTCCAAATTGATTTGCTAACAAATGGTGTCTATGATTCTGAGTTTCAGTTACGCCTTTCAGAGGCACATCAGATGAAAAAAGCTGATTGAAAAAATATCTAGAGCTTGAGTTAAGCTGAATGCAGCTTATACCTCCAATACACAGATCTTCTTCTTCAGCCGCACACATCTCATTAAGGAATTGGATGATATTACCCATTGCACTGCAGCAAGCAAAACTGATAGCAACAGCAGAATTGCTAGCTTTAAAAGTCATTCACACTGTCAAACTGATGTTCTTTCAACACTGCCTAATATTCTCGCTCCACTTGGCAGTGGGACGTTTCAGGATAGACTTTTGCAGATGCAGTTTTGTTGTGAGGAGAGATACTAGAGCTTAGTAGTCTTTGGCCGGGTGAGCAAAATGAGGGTTGTGGTTTCATTTAATTGTTTGTGGCTCTCGGTGTGTCTGTCACACAATACATATCACAGGAATGGGGAACTCTGTCGTCAGAGTGCATCTCCCATCATCCATTGCTATTGGCTATGCTCTCTAGGGGTAATGGATAAGAAAGTTAATCGCTCCAGCAGAAAATGTATAAGTCTGTAACACGAGGAAGACTAGAATCCATCATTCTTTCAAACTCATCAAATTTAGCACCTTGGAGTTTTTAAGCACTCGCTGAATTTCTACAAGATTTTGATCCAAACTTTGTGAGGTTTGCTTCCATGTAGCTTCCAAAAAATTTCTACTATGCCTACATTTCTTGTGCAAATCTGGCTGCCAGTCAGTTTTTAAAAACTGTCAGTCACTTCCATACTTCCTGGTGTGTATGCCACCATCTTGAGTGATCCTTAGGATTAATACGGATAACCAGCAATGTGAACAAGAGAAACCCATCTGCATCTTGGAACAAATGCAGAAAATGTGCAGTTGCATTTCACAATGGCTACTCCAAACCCTTTATTCTACAGGTAAAGTAAGGTTTAGAGGCAAAGTTCTCATCAGATCCATGATTACAGTAGACATGTGTCTTTAAACCCAGATCTGTCTCAAGCAGAGAGAGAGAAGGTTATGGACCAGGACAAGTTTTTCAAAGCTGAGGGTGTTTCCATCTACCCGCCAGTGTCATTTAATTTTTTCTTACCTAGCCCCCAATTAGATTGGAGGGTTGGAATGGAGGGAAGCAAGGGTTCAGCACCCCTTACCCGTCCAATCCTTTTGCCTTTAAAGTCAAACTCACCACACTCTGGTCTGCTTTTTATGTGATTGAGGCAGACCCTGGTTTAAAACCCTCAAAGCTGCTGCCCTCACATTTAGTAGTTCGTGAAAACTGCCATGTGATTACTATTCAAGAAGTTCCATGAAGCCTCCTACTTCTGAAAACTTTCATGATAAACAAACAGTAAGTAGAACATGTTAACAGTCCATTTGGAATTACATTTGTAATGCTTTTAAACAAAACACCCTTGGGAGCTGGTGTGAATTTCTAATTTTCATAAAAGAACGTACAAAGGCCGAACATTCTATCTGGATTTAGACCCGTTTCTTATATTTTGCTCTCCAGTAAAAAGCATTCTTCCTTTACTTCTTTGAGTTAGTTTGTTCACCTCTAGGGAATGCTCTGGCATAAATCTTTCATGTGACAACAGTCTAAACCATGTACAGGATTAATATTTATCCCATATTGTATGTTGTGTAATTATCTCATGTTCTACTAGATACAAATAAAGGGGAAACAATAAGAGGCTTCAAATGCACAATTTGTTGTGTCTTGTTTTTATGTGAACAGCTGGTTTATTCTGTCTCCAGCTTCCACTTGCTTTCTTTCCATTTGCACAGAATTGAATCAGAATATTACATGCAAGTGGTGAATCTCTCATCACTTGATGGGCAGGCCAGGGAGAGGCATGCCAAGCCGACAGGGTCAGCCTCGCCTGCCTCCAACCTACTCCTCTTCTGCACTGCCTTCTCTCCGGAGCAATGGAAGCAAGTTGCCTGAAGGGCTCAGAAAGTGGGCAGAGGATGGAGAGTCTCTTCTATCACTTCCTTGATACTCAACCAAGCCACTGCTGGGACAAGGAAAGGCAAAAGCTTCCTTAAGTAGCTGGAGGATAGAATGACAGGGATAGGGCACCCATCCAGCCTGCCCTCAAGCTTTCAAGCAAGTGAACATGGCAAGAAGCCACGCCACGGCACGCCACGGCAAACCGTCTTGAGATTCTTTGGAATATAATGACAATATAGACATTTTAAAATAAATGAATAAATAACGAGCTACTTTAAGAGGGTGGACATATTTGGTTGAAAAATTGAGCAGCAAGGAGGTGGATGGAAATGATTCCAGCTTTTTGTCTCCTCTCAGCTACTTCAGCAGGCAATAGCAGTAGGAGCTCCAGGAATTCGCCCTGGAATTTCTTTACTGGAGAAGTGGGCATGAACAAGAGACTGAGGCCACTTTCCTGGGAATAAGACCCACTGAATTCAGTGGAGCTTACTATGTAAGATCTGATGTAAAGTGCTTGCTGCCATTTGTGCCTGTAAACATCAGAAGGAACGGGGGAGAGACAGGACAAAATGACCTCTCAGCCCAAGGCAGACGGCCATTTTGGTAGCATACTTATGTGATGAATCGGGCCTACACCAATTGTGCTCAGCTTATCCTTGCTGGCGTCCCTTTCCAAACCTCTTTTGGGACCTTGCATGGCATCAAGTGCTGGTGACCTGTCACAATTTTTTCCTTTACTAGGCCTTACCTGGAAGTGCTTTACGGACCTGGAAAACCCATACACTGACCAAACCTTTAGGAATTCCCTTATGAAAGCACTAATCCAACTTGTTGCCAGGCAGCTTTTCGACTTAATAGCACGATGCCCTTCTTGGCTCGCCCAGCTGCTACAGCCTGAAAGCCTCTTTGCCCTCATATATAAGCAGGACTCCTCCTCCTCAACCTTCCTTCGGTAGTGATGGGGCTAGTTTTACTGCCTGGGAGGCAGACCCCATGTACAACCTCCTTTTACTGATGCGTATTTGTCCATGTGTGCATGCAGAGGTACCCTTCCATGCTGCTGCTCTTTTACTCCTCCGTCACCTGCTTTAGCATCATGAAGACAGTTTGCCTTCTCAGCCTCAGAACCCGGTCTTACTTTTCACTCTTGACACCCTGTAAGTATCCAAGCACTTGCTTGTCTCTTTTCATCATCCAAGGGCAAAGGAGGTTTTATAGCCAGGCTAAGGAAACCAACTTTCCTTCTATACTACGAACACCATCTGCCTTAATAAGCTGATTTTTACATAGTGTAAAGTTATACTTCTGTGCCAACCAAAAGGCTGCTATGTTTCACTGATGAACCAATATTTTCATTTATATAAAAGAAATTGTACTTGTTTGGGTGAAAATATTGTATAAATTGTACTTGTTTAAACTGTATTTTAATTTTTCCATTTCTATTTTATCTTTTTGTTGATTTTTCTGGTCTGTGACTGTAAAATAACTACTACAAAAGAAAGTGAGGTATCTCCAAATTCCTCAGGTACTAAAGAAAAGTGTATTCGAGCAATGGTGAAGTAGCCCTAATTTTTAATTTGTTTTGATAGTGTGTATTTTAACTGGGAAACATCTGATGATCTAAGTGCTGGGCACTTCCTGACAGTCAGGACCCCGAGGGTGTGGAATGGGCTTCCACGAGAGGTCGTTGAGGCCCCATCGGTGCGGGTGTTCAAGGATAGGCTGGACGTCCACATGGTGGGCATGTCATGAGCGGAGCCGGCTGGTGCCGGAGGTCAGACTAGATGGCCCGGGAGACCCCTTCTGACTCGCTCTGTTTCTATGTTTCTATGACGCGTACAAAATGTTATCTCTGCCATTATATATGGATTTCTTCAGACCAGTTATTACAACATTGAATATGTTGCATTTTTTTCAGTGGTATATATTTCAGTGTATGCTAAACTTGCAGTACTGTTCTGGGGGAGGAGGAATAGCTTTTGTGGGTGGTAGGCAGGGATGCAAAGATTCTGCTCTCCTGTGCACGCTGGGTTTCTTTCCATGCTCAGCCCAGGCCAGGAAATGAGCTGAGCTGAAGCCCACAAACACTCAGGAGCTTTGTGAAAAGTACTCTAAGTGCATAATTCTTTGTGCAAAATATTCAAAGCAAGCAATTCATTGCACAAAGTACACCAAGGCTGCAATTCATGTGCTTGGAAGTAGAACTCACTTCCTCTCAGATACCCACACAATACTCCATGTATGGTAGACTTAGGAAAGAGAGAAAGTGAGCCAGAGTTCAGGGAGTTGACTGGGGAAATCCGGTAGCTTCCTGCCCCCAAACCGAATTCCTCACACATCCTTAATGGTGGGCTAGGGAAAATAATGCTGCAAGAGGAAGTGTGGCACTGGGCGGATGTGGAGGTGTGAATCTGTGAATGGCACGCACTTCTCCCATTGTTTCATCTGCTGGGTGAGGAACAAGTAGCCAAAAACACACCAGTGGCTTCTCATGCTGGGAAAATCAGCACATGGTAGGAATTGCAGGGAACAACTACCTGAATGTGCTCCCACAGATGAATCTACTCAAAAGTAAACTTTATTGCTTTCAATGGTGCTTGCGCCTGGAAAGACAGCACAGGGGGGAGTGTGGTTTGTTCTGAGTTTGGGGGAGGAGATGTGGATGCTTGTTTTTTGTTTTTAAATCTCCGCTTCTTTGATCTAGTGATGGATACAGAACAACACTGACTTTTTTAAAAGGCCATTTCCCTGCACCTGTCACCTGTCTACCTTTCCTCTTCCCATGACTGCTTTTGTGTGTGATGTTAGCTCCGCTAACGACATGCCCACCATGTGGACGTCCAGCCTATCCTTGAACACCCGCACCGATGGGGCCTCAACAACCTCTCATGGAAGCTCATTCCACACCCTCGGGGTCCTGACTGTCAGGAAGTGCTTCCTGGCATCCAAATGGAACCTTGGTTCCCTGAGCTTTGCTCCATTGGAGCGTGTCCTGCCCTCCTCTGCAGGGGAGAACAGGTCTCTACCCTTCTCCGTGTGACATCCCCTCATATACCTGTATGTCACCAGCATATCCCCTCTGAGTCTCCTCCAGGCTGAAGAGACCCAGTTCCCTCAGTCTCACCTCATACCCCATCCCCTGCAAACCGGCCACCAACCTTGTGGCCCTACGCTGCACTGACTCCAACCTGGCTATATCCTTTCTGTAATGAGGGGCCCAAAACTGAGCACAATACTCCAGTTGTGGGCGCACCAGAGTCATATAGAGTGGTAGTAATACCTCTATTGATCTAGAAGCCACACTTCTGGCTATGCAACCAAGGGTGGCGTTCGCCCTCTTGACCACTGCATCACACTGCTGACCCATGTTTAGCCTGCAGTCAACCAGTACCCTGAGGTCCCTTTCACACGTGCTGCTCTCCAGCCACTTGTCACCTAACCTGTACTTATGACACCTATTCCTATGCCCCAAGTGCAAGACCTTGCACTTATCCACACTGAACGCCATCCTGTTGTCTCCTGCCCACTTCCATAGTCTGTCCAGATCCTTTTGGATCTGGAGTACCTGCTCCTCAGTTGTGGCCACTGCTCCAGTTTTAGTGTCATCTGTGAATTTGATCAGCAGACTGTTCACCCCTTCTTCCATGTCATTAATGAAAAGATTAAACAGGATCGGCCCCAGGACAGAGCCCTGGGGGATCCTGCTTGTTACTGGCCGCCATCCCAATGATTCCCCGCTAATGGTTACCTTCTGCTTTCGGTCAGTCAAACATGCCCTAATCCACCAAACAGTGCTTTGGCATATTCCAAAACTCCTCAGTTTCTCTACCAGGATATCATGGGGCACTTTGTCAAAGGCCTTGCTGAAATCCAGGTATACCACATCCACTGCATCCCCTCCATCTAGCCATCTCGAAACCTTGTCATAGAATTCCACAAGGTTTGTCTGGCAGGACCTGATTTTGTGGAAGCCGTGTTGTGTGGCTGCCAGCCTCCCTTCCCTATCTAGCATCACTAGATCTCTCTCTATTATGAGCCTTTCCATTGTTTTTCCTACAATGGATGTAAGGCTAACCGGTCTATAATTCCCCATGTCCTTTCTACTACCCTTTTTGAAAATTGGGACCACTGATGCCACCCTCCAGTCCTCTGGAACTTCACCCGTTCTCCACGAGGCCTCAAAAATGGAGGCCAGCAGGCGTGAGAGAACCCCTGCCAACTCTCTAAGTACTCTCAGGTGTAACCCGTCAGGGCCTGGCACCTTTGTAATGTCCAATGCCCTGAGAAGCCCCTCAACTTCAAGGGGGGTGACTCTAATCTGTGCCCCTAAGTCCCCAGCCTCATCTAATCCCCTATGTGGATATCCCCCCGTCCTGCTTTGGGAAGAACACAGAGGCAAAACAGTCATTTAGCATCTGTACCTGTTCCCTCATAGCAGTCACTGGATCTCTTTCCTCCTTATTTAGTGGTCCCACCACTTGTCTCCCCTTCCTCTTCCTATTCACATGCAGAAAGAAGCCCTTTTTGTTGCTCTTGATATTCTTGGCAAGTCTCAGCTCGTAATCAGCCTTAGCCTTGCGAAGAATCCTTCTGCAAGGGGCCTCCTCCTCCCGGTATACCCTTTTGTCTATTTCCCCCAGTACCCATTTCCTATGGAGGTTCCTCTTTCATCTAATCCCTTTAACCACCTCCTTTCGCATCCATGGCAGCACTCTCCTCCACCTCCCCACCTTACTGACTAGAGGTACTGTCAAGGCTTGCGCCTCCAAAACCTCCCTTTTGAGTGCCATCCACCCCTCCTCAACTCGCTTACCTTCCAGTAACCTATCCCAGGAGACTTTCCCCAGTCTGGCCTTCAGTTGGCCAAAGTTGGCCCTCTTGAAGTCCCAGCTTCTAGTGCTCAACCTGCTGCACGTCCCCAGTCCCCTGATCTCAAAGCAAAGGATGGAGTGATCACTCGTATCCAGAGCTCCCCAATCTGTACTTCATCTATCAGCTCCTCCCTATTGGTCAAGACCAAGTCAAGGATGTCCCCCCCCCCCCATCGCCTTTCGGACCCTCTGTGTGAAAAACCCTCCCTCTATAGCTTCTAGGAAGCGATGTGACCTGGCTGTCACCGCTGAGTGAGTCTCCCAAGTAATATCCGGGAGACTGAAATCTCCCATAATTACTGTGTCTCTCCCCTGAGACAGCCTTAGAATCTGGTCTGTCAGGACATCATCCAGGGTCTCAAGTTGACCTGGAGGGCGATAACATACCCCCACTGTCAGGTCTCTTTCCCTGTCAAAACCCCTAAGTTTCACCCAGACTGCCTCTGCCGAATCCCCATCTGTGCTGCATTCTAGCTCACTGCATCCTATCCCTTCCCTGATGTATAAAGCCATGCCCCCACCCCTTTCCCTTCCTGTCCTTTCTAAAAAGGTGATACCCTTCTATGTTCACATTCCAGACTTGCCTTTCATCTCTCCACTTGGGGAGGCTGCTCCGGGGGGGCCTGGAGAGCTCTCTCGGCCCTCAGGCACCCTCAGGCACCTCACCTCCTCTTCTGCTCTGCCAAGAGGCCAGAGTCATGGAATACAACAATGTGTCAGGCATTATTCTAATGCCAGCAACATGCCTACTATAGATTTCCCCTCAGTTTCTCTCACAATATATATTAAAATGTGTGGCTTATGCTCCGTTCTCTACTTTCTTCTTTTACAGCATGAAAATGTGTGGCGCATGGCAAGCACTGAGTAAAATTTGGCCAAAGTTGTTGGAAAGGGCATGTGGATGCATGTTTGCAGAGAGCTGAAGAGGGTTTGAAAATCAGATAAATGTTCCAATGGTATAAACTCCCTCACCTCTCACCTTTGATAAAAAGATTTTATGGGTCTTTGGGCTGTTTAAAAAAACCTGTAACACATGTGTGCCCAGGAATGACAGTGGAAGAAAAGAAATGTGCTTGCTTCCCGAAAAACTGCTCCATGCATGCACAAAGAGCCTGTATGTGTGATGCACAGAGACCATGAAGAAGTACATTTCTCTCAAATTATTTTCAACCCTTAAAAACCTATCTTAATTTCTGATCAGGATAATCAAACAAGTGCTTAAGGGCTGCAAGCCTATATATACTTACCTGGGAACAAGTCCTATTGAAGTCAATGGGATTCACTTCTGAGTAGGCAAATATAGGATCACACTTATTTTTTCAATGGGTCTTTGAGTCTGTACTTTGGCAGAAATGTGCACTAAGTCATTAAAGTGCCTTAAGCGACAATGAGCCCTTAGCGGAGAGTAAGTCCCACGGATGTTAATAGTGCTGACATTTGACTTGCAGACTTGCACAGGATTATGCAGTTAGCAGCTCAAAAACCTGTCGGGTGCCTTCGATTCAAAGCCATCTGAGAACACCCATACAGCCTATTTGTACTGTAAATCATGATGACAGAATAATGGCTAATAGCTCTTCGCCTCAGGCCTGGGCCCAGGATTTTGAGAGCCCTTGGGCCACGGACCTGCCATGCTCTGGTCCCTTCCCTCTTTCCTTCTGGTTATCAAGTTCAAGACAGTCCTTTGAAGTGCAACTCTTTTAGCAGACCACATAAGAGTGTGAACTCTAAATAAGCTTCTACCCAAATGGAAGGAGGAGCATCTGCTCATGAATCCAAAATGGAAACTCCCCCTCTGTCCCTCCCTACCAGTAAAGCTTCTGCCATCTGCATGAGATGGTGTAATGTGGTGTCCTGCAACAGCTTTAATCCAGCAGCCTCCTTGGCCCCTTCCAACTCTACTATTCTGTGACTCAGGGTGGCTCTTGCTGCTTGATGGAGAGACGACAGGAAGGCCAGAGACCCTCTAACTGGGCCACTCGTTCCTCCCATCACCTCCTTACTGGGTCAAGGACTGGATCTTCCCCCTGCCCCTCCTCCCCTCCTGAAAGCCCTCCCACCCTTCCAAAGCAGGCCGATCTCATGCTCTGGCTGAGAAATTTTACTAGGCAACCCTGAAACTTCAAAGTCCTGTCCCCGCTTGCTCCTTCACCTCCTCCTCAGAACTGGTCCATCTATCTGAATAGTCTTAATGGGTGAGAGACAGGCCCACCTTCTACAGTAACCCTGTCTCTATATTACCTTCAGTGGAATGGGTCCTCTCTTTCAATGAGTCTCCCTGCGGACCACCAGGGTCACTGGTCCGGATGTGCAGCTTCTTTCTCACCGCTGCTGCCCCTTGCTTGCTTGCTTGGCAGCAAGCCAGCAAACCGCCAAGAAATGGCCCTTCCTCCTTCCCAACACCCTCGTACGGGCCAGAGAGGAAGGTAGAGGAACAAGCAAGTTGCTGTGGAGAAAAGGAGGAGCCATTCCAGGGGACTCTATCACAGTGTGGGGCCTTGGCAGAAACTCAGTCATGCCTACCCTTGGCTCCAGCCCTGGCTCACCTTACCTGGCTTTCAGATACAGAGAACAGCCGAATGCTCCTAAAGCTCCTGCATGCTAATTGCCTTAAGCAAGAGCTTGGTTGAATTTTTGTGCCACAGTAATTAAACTATACATTTGAACACCACTGTGCATAGCTTTAACCTTTTAGTTCAGATCCACATATATTAATTCCCTACCCATGGGAATAATTGTGAATATATTTTTAAAACATGTTTTTAAAAGGTGCCTTACCTGGAGGGATATACTGGCAAGATCCTGAGTAGTTTACCAGAACATTGGTGTGAAATGTTGCATCAAATCTCTCGTCTGCACTACAAAATACAGCAGAATAAAATTAACTGGGTGTTGCTTAGTGCTTGGATTTGTTGTGTGGTAAATGGCCAATAATAATAATTACTAGGAACATCAACTGATTGAAGATTGTTGGCATTTTTTTTTGCAAAAAAATATAAAAGCAATCACCGTTAATGCAAGTTTCAGAACATCCAAAATTCTTCCTTCAGAATTATGGGATCATAAAATTACTTTTGGATACTTGAAAGACATGTAGATTTTTCTTATTTGTAGGCCATTCATATAATATCCCTTTTGAAGTTTGGTTTTTATGCATTTTGACCTACTGAAATGGAATTTTGCTTTACCTGACCAACTAACAATTAGATTCTTTTGCAATATTTAGTTTAGACATGCCCTGCATTTTTAGAATTGCTTGCCATGGTTTGCTGCCATGAGCCTTATACCCTTTCAGCTTTTGGGCAGTACCTCTTTGGCTATTAGGTGGCATAGAAATGAAATAACTAAATGCAAATGAATAAATAAAACTTTAAAACATTTTTATCTCACCTTTTTGCAATGGTCAAACCAGGTTAGTATTATAATGAAAAATAAAATACATCAAACCCCTGTAATGCATGGATAAACCTCAGAATATACTCATAAATACTAAAATAGACATAAGCCTTATATATTTTGACTGAGGTATGCCATGTCAAGCATCCTGAACCGAAACACCATCATTTCCAATTCATACCCTTCCTGTTGTCCAAAATCCATGTGAAAAAGCTAGGACTTGTACGGCCACCTCAATAAGGACAAGGAGCATGAATATACTTCCTGGGAAGATCATTCCAAAATGCTGGGGTAACCATCAAGAAGGCCCTGCAATTTCCACATATTTTCTTAGTTACATCATTGAGGGAATTTGCAGTAACAGTTTCCAGCGTGCCTTGAGTAGGCAGGTGGGGTCATGAGCAGCAGAAAATCAAGGGCATTGTGGGAGGGAAAGTGCATCAGAAACTTATGGACAGGTTCTTTAACGGAAGGATACTAGTCTGAAAGCTAAGCCAATCCAAAAAAATGTTTGTATAAATGAACATTTTTGGTGAACAGGATGGTTCCCAGCCAAGTTATCCATGCTAATGAAAACTGTCATTCTAGCAATATTTTAGATGCAAACCACCATGTTCAACTCCCCCATTAGTACATTTAATTTAGGCATAGGGAAGATACATTTCTTCTGAGGTTGGACTGCAACTCCTATCAGCCCTAGTCGGCCTAGCCATGAAGGATGATGGAAACTGCAGCAGAACAACATCTGGGGGACCACAGCTTCCCCGTCTCTGATTTAGTTTAAGGAGGCTGGCAAAGCGACAGAGGTCATCATATGGCATTATTTCACTGAGCTTCCCTGAGTAATTGCATAATTATTCTGAAGCTTAAGGAAGTGACACCCATTTCCAGCCATTCTGCAACTTGTTCTGCTGGGGAAAACCAACCCAATATGAGCCTGCCTTACCTGTTGTACAGAAGGATGTCTGGCACCCAAATCTGATCTGCTGGAAATCTTAAGTTCTGAACTCCAGGATATTCTGACTGATCCCATGACAAATAGGCATCAAGCCAGGACTGTGGAGAAAGGGAGCTGTGTTAGTAAAATTCAAGAATGCACAGAAATCTGTTGAAAAGCTTTCTAAAACAGTGAGTACAATTTAGACAATGTTACAAGATGAATGACTATGATTATTCACAAGCATGGGAAGACAGTGGAAGCAAATCTCTCAGGGGAGGTTAAGCACTGATGTGGACGGGTAGGATGAACCATTTAAAACAGAGGTGGCCAACCTGTGGCCCTCCAGACATTTTGCCCTATAACTCCCATCAACCCTAGATAGTATCATGGGAGTTGTAGGCCAAAACATGCGGAAGGCCAGAAATTGCCTCTCCCTGACTTAAAGCAAAATGCTTAAATGCTACAGCTTAATCCTTTCTTACCTCTTCTGGTATACATACAGGACTGCACAAGTATACAAATATATTCACCCACAGAAACATATACAAAAATCAGACTTGGAAAATGCCCAAGTCCAAACAGAAAGGAGATCAGATGAATCCACCTGCATTTCATATTCTTGTGCTTGCAGGACATTTGTCTATTTCTTGGTGGAACAGAAATAGAATCAGACAGAAAGGTCCCAGGAATAGATGCCATTCCCTCCAAGAGAAGGAACTAAGATCAAATGTGAAATATTTGTGGGAAGACTGTGCTCTTATTTATGGAGCTTTGCTATATGCCCCCATACAAAAACCCTACACTCTGCTCCTGTCCTGGCAATTCCACCCACACTCAAAACAAGTTTTCAAGAATTACACTGCTGCAGCTTTTGTCAGCATTATGCATTCAGTCTCATATTTAGTCTGGCGCAAAAGCTCATGTGGAAATGACTGACTCAGCTTTCTCTGAAATCAAGAAAAACCAAGCCTTTTTTAACAATAAATCAAAGTCAAAATAATTTTAAAGTAAGATGGAATTTATTTCTTCTCCCTTCCTCCTTTTTCCACATGAAAAAGTTGCTTTTGGCAAATAATGGTTGTTCAATAATTAACACTCAATAACATCTAACATTTTAAGTTGAATAACAGTAACCATACTTACCATCTGCAGCCAAGCATTTGTTATTAAAACCTGGTTTTTTTCATCCTTAAAAAAAGGTGAGAGGAAAAATAATTAATATAAAAAGTGTTTTGCAAACACTCTGGATTGGAGAAGGTGAGTTATACAGAAGTAGAAATAGCAGCAAAATAGGACAGCTATGCTTGCAGGAATACACATGAGGTAAGGAAATGAGAAAAAATGGTTTTGGCATTTACGAATGTTCAGATGATGAAAAATTAGTGATAGCCACAATGAAAAATTTGTAACTAAATTATGCATCTGAAGTGAGGCAGCAGCATTTCTATGTCATTTCTATGTCAAGAGCTCAGCCAGAGGGTTTTCTACCTCAAATGTTTTTTTTTTAAATGAAAAAGAACCTGCACCATGCAATCAATAATATAAGATCCAAATAAAAAGTATGGGCACACTCCAGCCAAACTTAAATTATTTGTCCCACTCAAAGACCTAGAGCTGGCACTGAATTTTATGCAAATCTTATATCTTCAATGTATTTTGTTGCATGTGGGTACCTGCTCCAAACAACAACAATAAACTCTCCTTTTATTCCTCACAGGCTGAGACTGAGTTAACTAAAATTGAGAAAAGGAATAAGTTATCAATGCTGTGGGATACCACTACCACCTCAAAATATATTGGCAATTGTAAACAAAGCATCTTTGAAAACAGAATGCAAAGAATTGAAATATGTGAGCTTTTCCCCTATTATTGGAAACTGTCTACACGATATTGTGGTAGTATAAGGGATAAATTCTAAATATGCTGCACATCACACCCTGTTGTGGGAATTAAGTCCAAAATAAATGAAGACCTGACTTGTCAATTAGAGATAAATCTGGTTCAACTTGGTTAGTTAACCACAGGTTGTTGCAGTGCATGCCACCACTGTTTCACATATTCAACCTCCAACTGGGCCATTCAGAGGTTGCTTCTATCATCTGGACCAGGGCACTATAGGTTAACCATGGATTAAACAAGCCCAGTTAACCTACCATTGGTAGTTAGATCAACTGGGGGTTGCTTAGTGCTCTGATTTGCTTAACATGGCACAAGCTGTGGTCACCTCAGTTTGAGGCCGCCTATGCGGAATGGCGGCACCTGGCAAATGGCACAAGGTATCGTGGGTTCATTCCCGTTGCAATCAGGGCCATTGTTGTTGCTGCTGTTTCAAACATAGCCCAGGAAATCTGCAGAGAGGATAGGCCAGGAAGGGTAAGGAGGGGCCGTGTGTTCTCAGGAGAGCAATACAACTTGCTTCCAGTTAAAAGGGCACGGGACAGCAGCCTCACCCTCCCAATGAAATTGGTGGTGCTTAATTACTGGTTGGGTCATGCCAACAATTGTTCTGGACATTCATAAGTAGTTCTAGAATGAATTACTGGGACAGCCTCTTGCCAGTTGCAGTCTATATTCATATTCTGTGTTTGTTCTGATGAAGTAGATCATACTCTCCCTGCACCTGCGCTGGAGACTGATATTGTGATATTGTGGCTATTTGTTTTTTGTATTTGCTTTTCCATGTTATTTTTATTTTATTTTAAAGCACAATTTGTTACCTCCGAGGAAAAGCACAAAAGATGTTTTAAGTCAACATTTTTCAAATGTAGTATTTCCAAGGCATTCATCTGAATCGAATTTTAATTCTGTGTGGCCAATTACAGCTTATTTCCCATTGGTACTTCCTTCCCCATTTCAATTCCTTTTGCTTTGGAAAAACTTCAAAGTGTATGTGAGCTTTATTCCTATTTCCAATTGCCTTGGTTTTATTAAGCATTAATTCACTCTGGCACCACTTTCATTTATAATGCAAGCATTTATGTACTCCAGGTTTAGCTGCTACTAATCCAAAATGGTACAACAAAATCCTTTTAAGAATCTTTCCCAGCATTCCTCTTTCTTTTTACCACTTCCACCAAATAGAGATCCATGTAACTCTGTGCCAGGCAACTTCAAGGGAACAGAGAAATTGCAGGGCCCAAGATGCTCCCTGGGATATAGGCTCGCTTCTCACCACTGCTTCTGAGTTACGTAGCACTGCTCAGTCTTTAGGAAGGGGTCCACAGAACCACATTTCTACTTCATGCAGATGGATGACTGAATAAATCTTCACACATAACTATTACATTTGTACCTAAGACTTGCTAAAAAAAGAGGACATGTAGCAACAAAAAAGCAGACAAAAATATGACACTGGTTTGCATAAGCTAATGCATAGAGACCCGCACTTAGAAATAATTGTTATAATTTCAATGACAACACATTCATCTCAGCATCGTGTGGGGGAGTCTGTGACCAGAGGACTGTCAACTCTTATAGTGATGACAATTTACCACTTACAGAGGTGACAATTCTTACAGTTTTAACTTATAAAATACAGGGGTAATTCCACCTAGCCTTCATGAATTCCCCCTAGGGGACTCTATCCCCCTCCCCAGGACCTTTTAATTCAGGTTGACCCAGGTGTGTATATTTGGTGGAAATAAGATGCAGGTCTGGATGCAACACTTTTTAAAACAACCATTCTCTTTATTATTTCCTCTGGTTTAAGATAAAGTAGCACAAGGCCTGTCTCATCACTGCCAACAGATGTGAATAACAGCAGGAACTCTTCTGGCTCAAGGGAGTTAAGCACTGGGGAAAAAACTTTATGTACAAACCCTACACATCTCCAAAATCCTCACTTCAAAGTTATTTTTGGTAAGCCTAGCTCTCCATCTGGATGAAGTGAGTTCTAGCTAGGAAAAACTGAGGTCAAAATAAATGTGCTAGTCCTTAAAGTACTGCAAGACCCTCTCCTTTTTTTGTTGCAGCACCTTAAAATGGCTACTTGCTGGAAATTAGAACCATGTCCCTGAATCCAGAGACTAACTCAGCACTGTTAAACCACAACTATACTGCTATTCAAAGCAAGCAGGCAGATGGCTTTCCCCAAGAAAACACCGGGAAATGTTTGCATTTTTCCCTCATGTTCAGGATTAGAAAGGGGCAAAACTAGATATGAGAAAGATACTTAATTATGGCTAAAAGCAGCCCCCCTATGAAGACCAGTAATTGCGATGTCAGTGGGCAGTTTGTTCCCTCCAGGCTGCAGTCCGAAATGTTAAGAAGTTGTTCATGGTCCTGAATCTAGATTGGGGCTTGGATTCAGAAACATGGATAGCACCTTTAAAAGTCAGACTAAAACTGAGAGTAGAGATCAGCCACCAGCCTCCACTGCCCTGGATCTCTAATCTGCTTGATGACATGTAAGAAAACAAATGGTGTGCTGTGACAGTAAAATGTGCAGGTCCAATTCACTGACTGCTGCTTCTGGGGGTGAAAGACAGTGATGGCATCTGCCCTGCCCTGCCCTGCCCTGCCCAGGAGGGGCAAAGAACCAAAGGGGAGATTCAAGCTTCCTATTTGCATTGGCAACCAGGTAGCTCCCATCACAACTTATGGAGCGTGATCATCAGCTTTGCCATGGTGGCTGACTGGGTACATTTTGGGGGACTGGCTCTCTGGACGGGATACAAGTCTGTGGTGGCGACCCAGCTGTGGAATGCACTGCCCAGAGAGGTTCACCTCGCGCCGACTTTATATGCTTTTCGACTCCAGGTTAAAACCTTTTTATTTACCCAATATTTTAAAGTTTAAATATTTTAATCAGGTTTTATTGACATCCTCAGTCGTATTTTATCTTGTTATTGATTGTTGTATTTATTGTATATTTATTACATTGTAAGCAGTCCAGACTCAATTGGTATAGGATGGGATAAAAATATCCTAAATAAATAAATAGAAGATGTATGAGACTGGAAGTCACCAATACAGGAAAGAAGAGAGTGGATTTCAACAGTTTGTTTATTTATTATTTATTTATTAAAACATTTTTATGCCGCCCCATTCGCCGAAGCCTCGGGGCGGCTTACAACATAGATAAAACAAGTTAAAATCCATATAAAATAATCTTAATTAAAACACACATTATAAAATAAGCCTCCCTGGCCAGATAAAATTCAATTGTATTTAGCATTTAAAATGTTGCTTAAATAAAAAGGTCTTTGCCTGGCGCCGAAAAACAAATAACGACGGCGCCAGGCGGACCTCTCTGGGGAGCGCATTCCATAACTTAGGCGCCACCGCTGAGAAAGCCCTCCTCCGAGTAGCCACCCTCCTAATTTCTCTCACGGAGGGCTCCCGGAGAAGGGCCTCTCCCGCCGATCTCAGGGGGCGACTGGGCAAATATGGATGTAAGCGCTCCTTCAGGTATAATAAATAAACTTGTTTATTTCCTTGGTTAGAGTCTCTTGACTCAGAAAGTGTTGGGTTAATTTAACTGTCCCTGTCCATCTTGGAGGCCTCCTTTTCTTTCACTTTTCGTGTCAGAGATAAACCATCATGTGTAAGAGGAAAATTTCAGGCTGTCAGTGTTGTTTTCTTCCACATTCAACCTTTTCAAATCTCTAGTCCATTCACTCCCAGAAATGCAGAACTAGGTGATACTGGCAAATACGTAAAGCAACCCCAGATGTACCTCCTAAATTTAATAGGTGCAGCTCTTCTCAGCATAGTGAGGACTGTAATGTACCTGCCTCCCATGAAGCTCTTAAAGATGAAGAGCCTATCAGAGAAAAGGTGGGAGGAATTCTAATTCAGCACAAACATGTTATTGAATATACAGGGATTCAAAGCACTCGACACCTTTGGCCTGGATGGACAAATCAGTCTGCACTGTTTTCTCCCCCATGCAATATTTCTGTATATCCCAAATTTGAAGAACTTTGCAAATTTTGGAAACGTCTTATCAAAGCTAAACTAAATGAAATTCCCATCCATTTCCACTCCACATGTATAATTCTTAAGACCCCTCACGTGCTACGCCCCCATGTGGCGAAACATATTTGAACATTTAAAAACAAGGCACAATGACCTGTACATTGCAGGAATCCTGTTGGGAAGTACAGCCCATTTCTGCATGCTCCACTACAAATATTATGTTATACTTTGATGTCCAGCAGTTCGACACTTAATGCAACATTCCCTGA